TTAAATGCCAATTTTTACCAGAAAATGTGGACAGTGCTTCTAGATTTTGAGCCAAATTTATTTCAAATCATATCTATATTTCTGTACAAACCAATCCAACTCCCCTCATTATGCCCACACATTAGAATTTCAGAAACACCCATACACTTTTCAGACCCATCTCCCAAGTTTAAAAACTTAAAGGAATTTACAAAGGACTTTATTCAGCCCAAGATAGGTTCATATTTGGTATTTGTAGAATGATGAGATGGGCCTACTGCCTGGGCAAAGATGCAAAAAATAAGAATTCTACCTTCTAGGTCAAATTTCCCAAGTGAGATATTTGCTACATGTTTTGACTCCAGGTAGGGATGTCACCATGTGTTTGAAAAAGTTGAGTCTCTGTAAGACTCCTGTACAGTTTAGCTTCATAGTCAAGGGACTAGAGTGATTGGATCCCCTTGTTCTGTGAGAAGAGGACGTAGCCACACCTGGGCACAGCAGGTATCAGACAGGATGGATTACGGTCTGACTCGAACATTTCCTGGGTTTAAATGAGATCACCAGAACTTCATTCACACAGGCAAGTCAAGTCGTTTCCACATTAACATTGGATGAAGTGATTTTTATTACAAACCCCAGCACTAGCCAGGCTCTTTTCTGAGGACAGATCAAAAGCATAAGGATCTGGTCATGTGCTGCTTTTCATCTCCCTTTCTTGAGCACAGCACTGCCTAATACACACTGATCAAATTCTGCCTGGGATTTTAAACAGGATGGTCTGGAAAAGCCAAGAATAAACTTGTGAAATAAGACTGCTCATCCCATAGTAACGAGAATTGGAGCTGTGCTTGTGCAAATGGTACACTGAAAACTGTTTACAACTTGAAAATGATGATTCCAAGAAACATTAGAATACCTTTCTTATAGAAGGACGTTAAATAACTAACAGCAAATTTGCTAAGAAGTCCAGTTCTGCTTTCTGGGAACGTTCCAAAAAGTAATGACGGAGCTTTACAACACAGTTTCACAGAATGAAGTCATTAAAAGAGTGATCAGCCAGTTATTGATTATATAACAATAATTAATATGTAACAATAACTGTAATTAGAGCTGTCTTCAAAGTAGTGAACTCTTTAAGTATTAACAAATTAACTCCCTCTGTCACAACTGCCAACATATGCTTACACAGCTCTAGGGAGACCTTTATTTAACATCCATGTGTTCTCATCTAGTAATATCTGCAGGGGGATCTTTCCACTGATAGATAAGCATATTTGGATACACAGAGATGGATAATAATACACACCCATGTCCTGCCGTCAGGCTGGTTTACTGCTGAGTCCTCAACCAATACCCAATCAAAAGCAAAAATGTGTTTCCAGTGATAGAGCAGTATGGTTTTCATTGAGGACAGACTTTGCCGAAAATAATACAAAAATTGTCTGGGAATTTGGGTGCATAACCTGGGTGTGGTGAGGATGAGCTTTTCACATTTCTCACTAGAGTTCAGTAACTCTCCACATAACCTCAGCCCAGCCATGGATCCTTAAATTCACCATCTCACCAGCCAAAAGGACTCCTCCTGCTAACAGATGCCACAGTTGCTAGAGCTTCTCCACAAACTGCACATATTTTCATGAGACCTTGAAAATAACAGGTCACTGGAAACTACAGATATTTTGCAGATGTGCCTTTTACAAAAATGATTTCACAATTTGCCTCCGTACTTTATCGATATGTCTCTTTACAAATGAACGAAGACCAACGACTGGGCTGGTCTTCATGACAAATCTCAAAATTTGATGGTAATCACTTCTGCCTGGTAATTTCTAAAATTGTAAGCCTTCAAGAATTCTACATACTGGATAGTTAATGATTTTACAGAAGTGTTGTTAACCCTTAGTTCTAATAATAGTATTGCACTTGTCTTTAAAAAGTTCTTTTCTCTTAAAGAAAATGGAAATATTTGTGGATAAAATAATCTGGATGTATATAGGATTTACTTTAGAATGCCCTACAGAAAGTGGGGGTGAGGGGGGCAGTAAGCATGAGTTAAAAACGATCAAAGCTAGGGGCGCCTGGGTGGCTTAATCGGTTAAGCGTCTGACTTTCGCTTAGGTCATGATCTCGAGGTTCATGGGTTCGAGCCCCGCATCGGGCTCTGTGCTGACTGCCAGCTCAGAGCCTGGAGCCTATTTCAGAGTCTGTATCTCCCTCTCTCTCTGACCCTCCCCTGCTCACGCTGTCTCTCTCTCTCTCTCCTAGAAATAAATAAAAATTTAAAAAAAAACTTAAAAAAAAATGATCAAAGCTATAGGGTGGGCATGTGGGAGGTCACTCATACTATTCTCCTTGCTTTTGTCTACGCTTGAAATTTCCAGCAGGAAGAAACTAAAGGACTCCTGAAACATAGGCAGAACGCTAATATTCAAGGAGAGTCAACTCCAGACATCATATGAAATCACTTGGTTCCATACGCAGAGCACAGGCAGCATCCTGACAATGTGGAGTCCAAATCCTTTCCTTCTTCTGATTCCACCCTCACCTTGGAGAGGCTGAAAAAGCAACTTCTGATAAGGCTACATCAGGCTGACAAGACCTCTGATAGTGTGAATAAACTGGAGCATCCCCAAACTGGATTATTCGCAGTTTACTAAGTGGAGGTAGTAGTGCATTCATTGTATTCATGAATCAGTGCTCCAGCGTCTGATGCTCTAATCTCTAGAGTGAAAGTTATCCCTGGAGCCCACAGAAAAACACCCACCCCAGGCCATTGTCATCCATTGACTATTACTGATGTGCTGCCCATGTAGGCATGTTAGGGGTAGTGGAGATGCACAAGATGTAGTCCCTGCCGTTAAGAGAATCACACAGGGCAGAAATGAGACATTGCGGGGCACCTGGGTGGCTTAGTCGGTTGACCTTCTGACTTTAGCTCAGGTCATGATCTCACGGTTCGTTGGTTCGAGCCCCGCATAGGGCTCTGTGCTGACAGCTAGCTCAGAGCCTGCAGTGTTTCAGATTCTGTGTCTTCCTTCTCTCTCTGACCCTCCCCTGCTCACGCCGTCTCTCTCTCTCAGAAATCAATAAAAAACATAAAAAAAAAATAGAAATGAGACATTGCTTGTATGGGTAGTCGGGTGTCTGCAGTTAACGATATACTTACTCTCAGCCCACTTTTTCAGAGGGTACGCACGTAGGAACCCCATTATCTTAGAAAAGGCAAACAAGAGGAAAGCATTGATATCAGACTGAGTGAAAATTTTCTAAGTACCTGGAGTTTCTTAGTTTTCTGTTTTGTTTTTGTTGTTGATTTTGAAATAACTGGTGGTATATGTGTGACCCTGAGGTGAAGGATTGTATCCCTTGATACCAGCTACATCAACTGCAACTGGTGTTTCCCTCCGCCAATCCTCAATTCATCCCAGGACAGCTGCTTGAGAGGGAAAGATAAAATGTTTTCTTTAAAATGCCACATTATTTGGCAACACTTGTGAAATGTCTGTCTAATTGAAATGACAGGGCTCTCTGTTTTTCAGGAAAAATAAAAGTAGCTAAGAATAGTTACTCTCTGAATAGCCTTCCCACAAACTCACATCTGCAGAGCACCTTCTCACTGGCAAAGAGCCTTCAAACACATTCTCTCAGCCAATTAGGGAGGTGAGGTGGGTAGGCAGTTAAAAAATTATTGATGTGAAACTCACATATTATAAATTAACCATCTAAAAATGAATAATTCAGTACCATTTTACTACATTCACAGTGTTGAGCAAGCACTACCTCTTTTCAGTTCCAAAACATTTCCATCACTTGAGCCCTCCCACACAATACCCAATAAGCAGTTTGGGTAGGCATCACTACCTTTCAGTTCTACAGTGGAGGAAGCTTGCTCCTCCATGACCACCAGATAGTAAGTGCCAGATCCAGAAACAAAACTGCTTAAAAATTGCCACATAGATTAGACTCTTAATTCCTTGCTGAAAATCAGTCCTTTTTTCAACTGGCTAAGCTTATTATCTCTCCCAGCATGCCTGAGAAACTGAAAACTGTGTTAAGTTTGTGCTTCCAGAATGCCAGAGGGAGCAGTATCTTCTATCATGGGTCTGACACGTAATGCCAGGCAGACATAGTCAATCAATGTTGGATGAATTAGTTTACATATCAAAGGTAAGAGGGCTTCCTTTAGTAGTATTTGAGGCACTTCTAGATATAGGGCTGGGAAGCAAACCTACATTATTGACATTATGGACAGAGCTTTATGCATAGTTTAATTCTTACCCAAGTTAGATTCCATGCCAATGGCATAGCCTAACTGCACCTAAAGTTCTTAAAAGCACTGATTAGGGCACCCCCTCCTCTCCTGGCTCCCTGCATGAGTTGATGCCAGTGTTTTAGCATCAGCCCCCAACTACTTTCTTTGCCCGCCCCTCCCCCATGTGTGTACATGTGTACAGATGACAACTTGTAATATAGCCAACATATATTCCAACATCTGCCTACCAGATCTGTGCACGCTCTCCTGGTCACTTAGCTTGAGGTTGGGTGAGGAGGGGCATTGGAGGAGAGTAAACGGGAGAGCTGACAAGGTCTTGTGTCTAAAGTGCTGGGATCCTTTAATCTTCTTTCTTCCTTTGATGTCTGAGACTTCCCTCTTTATGCAATGACACTGGGACTAAATGAAACACCAGGAAACCATTTACCAGTAAAGGGTGTGTGTTACAAACACCTGCAGAGCCTATGGTACCAGGTGACTTGAATTACCCACACATTTCTAGATCTCTGCTCTGTGGGTGGGTGGCTAGTTTGACTTTTTTACTCTGGGTAAAAAGATGACAGGTCTGGTCACACTGCTACGACTTCTATTTATTTTTGCCCAAACATCAAATAATACCACAAACAATTGGGGAAGAGAGGGAGATAGCTCTGATGAGTAAAAACACAGTTTCTTAAAAACACACAGAAGCTTTGTACAGCTGGGTTTTTTTTTATTCAAATAAGAAATAACATTTTGTGGTCCAAGTTGCTAAGGATCAGGAGACTAAATTCTGGGTTCAAGTCCTGATTGCCATCACTTAGCAGGTAGACTTTGTACATTGTGGGCTTCTGTTTTTTCATCTGTAGAATAAAGGAAATCACCTGAAAAAAGTTTGACTTTGTTTTTTCTTCTTAGCAGGCTATCTGTTGCAACTGGCAAAAATTTTCCCAATTTCCCAGGGGTGATTTGTCATTAATCTGCTTTTTTTGCATTACAGAAATAATATGGCACCTCCTTTTGTTGTTCGTTTGTACCTCATGAAACAAACTAGATAACTACACAGAACATTTGATAAATATGAAATGGCATCATTATTAACACAGCCTGACATTACAAAAAAATTATAATAATGGCTAATACTTACTGAGAGTTTACTAGGTACCACTCTCTGTGTTAAGTGCCTAACAAGCAATAACTTGTGGGAAAGGCTCCTGCATAGTATAAAATGTGTCTTGAATTGCAAAACTTTAGCAATGCAATTCCAAATTGGAATGCCAAAAAAAAAAAAAAAAGTCTCAGCATATACATACGTTTTGTGAAAACCCACCTAGGTAGGGATGATTCTCCAGATCTTCAAAAAATATTACAAATGCGACCCTATTTCTTTTGCATAGCAGTCTTCCCCATCTCGGTAAGTGGCAAGTTTACGATGGCGGCTGTCAGGCTGAAAACCTTGGAGCTCTCCTGGATTTCTGTCTCTCAGTCCTAACTTCAAATCCATCAGCGAATCCAGTCAGCTCTCTCTTCGAAGTGTTTTTAGAATCCACCCTCTTCTCGCCAAATTGCCCTCCAATCCCAGAATTCTCTTACACCATTTTATTCTCAATATGGCAGCCCTAGTGGGCCTACTGAAATGGCAACTGGATCCTGTCAGTTACTGGCTAAAATTGTCCATGGGCTTTGCATCACATTCGCTACAAAAGTCAGAGCCCCTTCTGTTTGACATGAGCTAGCCCTTCTTACTACTTTCTTACTACTCACCCCTTGACTCACCCTGATCCTGCTATACGGGTCTCCTTGTGATTATTTTTTGTACCAGGCATCCTCCAACTTGGGGCCCCGCACTGGCTCTTTTCTTTGCCTGGAAGGGTCTTCCCCAGAAGCCACGTGGCTGACACCTTCCTGTCCTTTGATCTTTATTCAAATGTCACCTTATTATTGAGGCCTCACTGACACCCCCAGTCACCAGCCCTTTGCCTCCTTTGCCTCTTTGTTTCCCCCTATTTATAGTATTTCTTACCATCTAACATGCTATATAGTTTTAATGTTTACTTGTTTACCTTCTCTCCCCTCACTGAAATATAAGCATGATGAAGGCAGGGATGTTTTTATTTTGTTTTGTTTATGACTGCATCTCCAGCATCTAGAACTATGTCTGGCATAAGGCAGATACTTAATAAACGAATGAATGGATATATTTTATAAACATAATATTGCACATCTAGCATTAAAAAAATCATTTCTCTCCCTCCCTTTCTTTATTTTAGGCTCCTAATACTCTCCCTCTTTCAGTTGCTTTTTTTTCTCTTGTAAAACTTTGTCCCACTAGCGGAATAAATTGTTTTCCTGAGTTTGGTGATAGTTTTGTTAAAAAGGGATAATGTAGTCTCTGTTTCTTCCCACCCAATAGCAAATGTTCTTTCCTTTGAGAAAAATCTTATGAGAAACCAAATCTCTATCTGCTCTTTCTCTCTTTCATGGGTAAATTTCTTGAAAGAGTAGTTTGCACATACAGTTTCCTCTTTCTGGCCACTAATTCATTCTTTAATTCATCATTTAACATGAAACCTGATGCTCTCAATGTGCAGACATTCATCAGTCCTGGGTATACTTACACGCTAAGAGCTCAATTCAAGGTATCACTTTCTACTTTGTCCTGCAGGACAGGATTGTCCTTTATGGAGAATCATTTTCCCCTTGGCTTCTATAGCCATCATCCTGGATCTTCACCTTGTCTTAAATGAGTTCTCTGCATTCTCTCACCTACCATAGTAATTCTAAACAGCTCTGGCCTCAGATTTTAAATTTCCTTCTCCAGTCCTTCACTCTAGAACCCTATTCACATCTATGGCTTTGATTGTCTGGTGCAGATGGCATTCTAAATGATGATAACTAAAACTTGTCCCTTGCAACTCCAGATATTTCCCATTCACTGCCTAACATCTTCGAGATCGCTTTTGTCACCCTAAGTGTGTCTTTACACCTGAGCTCACTAAAATTCAATCAGTACTGTCTCTTCTTCATGACTTTCTTATTTCTCCTTAAACATCCTCCAAAAAGGTAAAAGGGGTGGCTCAAAAGAAAACAAATAAAACCTGTGACTAAAGGAGTGTGAGATGAGACGATCAAAAGGGGTGGCTTAAAAGAAAACCAATAAAACCTGTGACTAAAGGAGTGTGAGATGAGACGATAGAGGAAAGGAAGGAAAGAGTGTTCAGAGCATTTTTAATAATAAAGTTAAACATGTTAAACTCTAACATTTTATTTTTAAATCAAATACGGAAAAAAAATTAAAAGCTCTTAATACTAGGTGTTGAAAATCAGGTACTTAATTATTCTTTAAAATTTTTAGTGTTTTAAAACTTTCTCCAAAAATATAGCTCCTAAAAACTGATGTGTCTACGCTTTGTGAAAGTATTTGCATTAAATGGAAAGTAATGTAGTCAATTATTTGCCTAATTTTTCTAAATGCCATTAAACAAAAATGCAAGTTTGGAAATTACTACGTTTGGTATGGCATCAAGTAAACAAGAAAACTAAATCTTGGATTTGGGTGTGACCTTAGCAATTATTTAACTCAACATGAAGCTTGTATTCAGCAGCTTTGACAAGTGGCCATCCAGCCTTGGCTCCAGTGAGGAAATTATGACCTCAAGGGGCTGTCCATTCCATTTTGGAAACAAATTCCTAAACCGTTCTCCCCGTATCAAGTAAAACTGTAATTTCCTTTCTGTTTCTATTCAGTTTTTCTGGTTCTGCCTATTAAATCTACTCACCACAAGTTTTATACTCCTATTAGTACAGTGGTTTTAGTCACCTCTCTGTGACTGTATCCTAAAAGCCACAAGAAAGCTTCCATTTGGCTTTGGTCAATTTCCTTATAGGCAAGGACCTATTTTGATTTTTAGATATTCTGATATTACCTAATATAAGGGTAGTTACAGCAGAAACTGTTTTTAACTATAGAAATTGGGAATTTAATGAACTTTCCAACTCAAGAGATGAAGAAGAATCGCTGACTCTTAACAACTTTTTGTAAGTAATCAGATTCTGTGCCCTTAAAAATGAAGACTGATGTTGATGCCAAAACTTTTATTTGTCTTGTTATGATTTAAAATTAGCACTCCTTCAATGTCTGTTATGTATTCAGTGAATCCATCAAGTAAAAATAGTCTTCTCAAAAATAAAAATAGCTTCAAATCCTTCAAATATAACAACACCATGAATAGAAATTCTATTCCATGAATAGAACTAAGTTAAAAGTTGTTGGTCAACCACTTCTAGGGGAAGGCTCGAGCATTTTCTAATCTTTGGGGACCTTACAATGAACTCTCAGGAGATTTAACTAAACTGGTAATTGCGGTTACCACTTACACTAGATTTGTAGAGACTCTGAAAAACAAGTTGGCTACTGTTAGTCCATACTCTCCAAAATCTTATCAGGATTTTTTATCTTCCCAAGATGTTGGCCGATTTGCTTATCAAAATAATACAAAATTTAAACTCACAATCTTAATTTTCTTTCACTTTGGGGGGGCAACATTATCTTTTATCCACTTTTTTAAATCTCTGGTATGTCTCTGTCTTTTGCAAGTTGCATCTAATTTCCTGCTTTAGCTTACTTATTTCTTGGTATTCCTCCTAGGTAACCACTTTTAGTTTGTGGTATTCCCATTTGTGTTTCAACTCCTTATTCAAATTTTTCTGTAGACAACCAGCTGTTAAGCTTAAGAACACCAGATGTTAATGTAAGATTTGAGATGCTGTTACCAGGACAACCAGCGGAGTGCTGGCCATTGCCATCACTGTATTCACTACTCCAAGCAGGGGATTGAGCCTCACCTTTCTCTATGGAAATAAAACAGACAAAAACATATTTGTAGCATAAATTTAAAGGGGTGGCTAGAACACCCTTCTGGGGTAAAATGTGTTTATACCTTCTGGGTGATTCTGCTGTACATGAAAAAACAAAGTAATGAGTGTTTAATAAAGAAAAATGGGAGACAAAGAAGGCTTTAACCACAACTACTTGGAGGATCAATTACACTGTGATGCTTTCAAGATTATAGATGAGTTGCCTCACTCAGTGGATGAAAAGGGAAAGTTTTGAGGTTTCCCACCCCATCTTACCTTCCCTTAGCTTAGATGCTCAGAGGCTGAGATGTTTTTTTTTCTGTGTCCATGTGAGACAATGGACTCACATAAAAAGAGAAAACCCACATTTAAGTCACAATATAACACAGAGAAGAGATGAGTGAGAATTCAGTGTTCTCTGACATTCCAGAATCATAGAATCATAGGGCATAGAACTTATGAAAATGTAACACAACCCTGTCACTTTCAGGTAATGAAAGCAAATATTTTAGACTTTAAATTTGTACTAACTTTATGATGCTAGTCCGTTTATCCATAAGCTCTTGACATCTAGTTTTCTTATGGTATAAAAGTCCTGTTGTGCAGTGTGGTGAGGAAAATCCAAGTCACAGATAGAGTCTAAGAATATCTTTTGCAAATTATCAGCCAAGCTGCGGTTTCCACAAATACACAGTGAGTATAATAATAATAGTAACTATTATTCTGTTTACTACATCATCGAGTGGTCAAATGAGATAATTTGTTATTTAAAGTACACTGCAAATGCTGTAAACGTGTTAGTAGTCTCAGAAAGTTACATAAAAACCCTAAAATGGAAAAAAAACCACCTCTAATGAAAAAGTTGTCTCCTCTCCCATAGGTAGCCAGAGTCACGACCATGCCAGTTAAAATTTCACAGAGGAAAGATTGAGGAAGTAAGCTATTATCTAAAAGTGCTGGAATGTGCAGATGAATTTTGAGGTTTTGTGTTGTTGTTTTGTTGGCTGGTTCATTTTGTTTGACATAATATTATCATCACTTTCTTATAATTTCCATTCAGACTACCTACAAGTTTATTTTTATCATAGGAAAATAAGAAAGGGATAAGACCTGAATTCCATAATTCCATGTACTCAAGACAGTACATTCTCTAATATACCACTCCATTATTTCACATGACAGCCTAAATCAAATTTGGGAAATGCCCATTTTTATGTAACAGAGTAAAGCAGGTCTTTGGCAGTTCATGCTATACAGAAACCACCATCAATGCTACATAAAAGGCCACGTCTGTAGAGACTGGAATGGAAACATTTCTGGACAATGTGGAGGGGTATCCCCATTGTGGAATATAACCTCATAACTTCATAATTAATAACATTGCTTTGCTTCAAGTGGAGAGTCTTGGGAAATTGCACAGTGAGGCAACTTCGCAAGTCTTCTCAATGGAAAATTTTTTTATTCATAAATCAGGAATAGTGAACAAGACATAGATTTTAATGTTAACTATCTTTGAAAATAATAACTTACTGGAAATGTAATGGTTTTTATTTTTTCTTTTAATGTTATACTTATGCCCTCTCAAGGACTAAAGGCTGAGTGGCTTTTTTGCCCCTCTTCTGTGCCCATATCTTTCTCCTATCCTTCCAAAATCTGAAAGGTAAAGTGTTTGTACAGCTAAAACCTTCTGAAGGTAAATGTAAGGTGAATACATTTTAAAAACAGGCTCATCACCGGCTCCACTTATGAGGCTCGAGCATGACATTTGGGGAGGTTTTGTAGGGTAGACAAAGGAACCAACACACCAAAGTGTGTCTATTGGACAATTGTGTTCCCTTCTGTGGAATCACACCCAATACATAGAACACATCACCCATGAATTCACCACAAATTCTTTTCACACCTGACAATACCAAGGGGGATGTAAACTATTCCTTTTTTCCAGTAAAGGACAACAATTTTCTGATATACCATGGAAAACTTGGTGAAAATGCAGCTAAATCTAAATATCCCAAATGATTCTATTTTTGTCATAATCAGAAATACAAAGAGAGAAAATGTAAACTATCTCTTGGTGGTAAACCACTGCTATTAACTACAGAATGCTGATAAAGAGAGAAACCCTACACTGAAGTTACCACATAGCCCAGTGAAAAGGTGGGTGGATAATAGCCCTCTGTGAAGTCCTCCTGTACCTCATCCCCAGAAACAGAGCTCTCTCCCTATTCCCTGCTGCACTCAGTTCCCTTTATTGCCATGTTTATCACACTCTCTTGTGGTTGTCTAGAAGTTTCCCTAAGGGCAAGTAAGGCATTTGGCTCATCTCTATAAGCAAATTCGTGATACAATTTCTGGTGCATAGAAGAGAATCAGTGAATAATTATTGAATACAGGAATTCTGAAGATAATTTAATTTAAAAAGTAAGAGAATATAGTCCAAATTTGTTAAGAGATACTCTGCTTGCATTTTTAAAAGGAGCAAGAACTCTTCAAAAAATGTGGCTGACCACTTCTAGCGAAGGAAAAGAACTGAGAATTCATTCACAATTGTCTGCATTGCAAAACGTTTTTGCACTTTCTATGATCTAGGATAGAAATGACTCTTAACATGACAATGTACATTCAAAGGTTTATTAAATATATAAATTATATATAGATTATATCACAGGGTCCTTGGCATGATTGGTTTATTTTTATCTTTTTTGGGAGCTTAATTAATAAAATATAATTATCCCAAGTTCAAGTATGTATAGTAATCACAATCCTTTTTTAAAGGATCAAAAAATAGATGCAAACTTAAGATCGATGAGAATATACCTGGATTACCTATTACCTATAATTTATAAGATTTGAACCTGTATTGAAGAAATAAGTATGATATTATGACTCTTAGTCTCTCATTTATAACTCCCCCCAAACCACACATATAAACTAAAAAAGTAAAAGTTCTACTATATTGAGTATATGTATGCCCTATGAAGGAAGCCTGCATTCATGGATGCACGCCTAGCATCATGTTTTGAAAAATAACATTTTATTGTCAAGTTGGTTTCCGTATAACACCCAGTGCTCACCCCAACAAGTGGCCTAGCATCCTTTTTAAAGGTTATAGTTTGGTAAAACTTTAATTAACCAAAGAGGGAAAATTATGCACTTGAGCACAGCTGCTTCTAATTTTTGCATCCAGTTCAACCAATTGCCCTCCTGCCTAATAGATTCATTTTTTTCTCATGTTCCCTCCATTCTGAATATAAAACAAAATGAACAGAAAGTTTATTATTAAGAATTTAAGAAATGAAAAAAGTGGCATTAAATACAGACATATGTTTACATTTCCCTTCTTAAGAGTTGATCATATCAAACAGACATTATTTTGGAAAGCCAAAAATATATCCCAATTACTGTATTTGACTTTTTCCAATTGCAAAGCATCTTAAAAAAAAGATTTTATTTGCCTTTGTGGGAAAATATTCCAAACATATAAAAGGGCTTTCCTGGTAGATTAAGAATGAAATATCCCAAGTCTCCACATCACAAAAATTCATTACATTAAGCTGCTTTTATGAGTGCCTGATTGCCTCACATAAGTTTATGTTCTTGATTGATCTCATTCTTCTTTCTTTGGGACTCTAGAAAACTGGTCTTCATGCTATTAAAAAATGACTGGTTTGCAGTACTCAGTGCAAGGAAATTACTCCTTTCCTTTTCATGTAAATCTCTTCATTTATCTGGGAAGTCTGCTTGATTCTTTATGCCTAATTTTTCAACTGTTTCTTAAGACGATGCGGAGATTAAGTGGGACCTAGACCACAACTTATAAAAAGTTCCCATAAGTAAATTCATTCCTAGAACAGAATGGCCACATTTTAATGGGATTTTTTAAAATTTAATATGGAATGTGCTTAATAAAAAATAAGGTAAAAATTAAGAATATGAGCAAAGTCATGGCAGCAGCAGGTTGCAAAATTGAAGTTATGCAAAAAGTTATAGTTGGCAGAAGTTCACTCTTCTTTCTCTAAACTTACTCATTTATTCATTCAACTATTTCTTTTGCTCCTTGCGAAATCAGTTTGCCCTTCCTACCCTTGACTCTAGGGTAGGAAGAGCAAATTAAGCTCACACACAATGAAGCTCAAGTAATTTTTTAAGATGTGATTTCCCAGTTTGCTCAACATGTCATCAATTTAGGAAACAATTTGCTCACTGGCATGAAAACTGAACTGAGGGCACACAAGCTTAGACAAAAGGATAAAACTAGTTCTGTGCAGAAAGAAGAACTTAGATGTCTAGATATCCATTATAAATTTATTTTATAAATATTGATTCATGTCTCATTAAATAAATGGCCAATTAGCCTTAAAACACACTGCCTGAAATTTCAAAGTGTTTCATATTGACATTCATACGGTTATACAATGTGTAATCTTTCTTTCACATCAGTTATAATTTATAATTAGAAAAAATGCTTATAGCTATTTAAATTCTCTTTCCTATGACTCATAATAATAATGATTAATTAAATTATTAAAAAATGAAATGGCCAGGTTTATGTTTTTCCCATTTTCTTCCTCCCTACTGGTTTGTTCATTCTATTGTCATTGGTCTGCTGTATGTAAGGAAAATGATTTAATCTATAGTCATTGTGTTTATTTTTTATTATAATTATGCATATTTATGGAATCCAAGTATTTGATTATTTTTCTCTTTTTATATGATTTTTTCCCTTTAAAAAAAATTTAAGTTTATTTATTTTGAGAGAAAGAGAACAAGGGAGGGCCAGAGAGAGAGAGGGAGAGAGAGAGAATCAATCCCAAGCAGGCTCTGCACTGTCAATGCAGAGTCTGATGCAGGGATTGAACCCATAAAACACCAGATCATGACCTCAACTAAAATCAAGAGGTGGATGCTTAACTGACCGAGCCACCCAGGTGCCCCATAAATTTTTCTCTTTTGATCAGTTTTATATGAAGAGATTAATTCCATTTAAATAATTCATCTATTTGTTAGAAGCTTAACTAATATTTTGATGTAGAGAATGTTCATATTGAGTGTTAATTTTAGCTCCACACTGCGTAGAAGTCCTCATGCCATCTCACCTCCCCTTTCTCTGGAAAATTAAGTTGGCTAAATGTCTATGTGTTCTAAAACAGTAAACCCAAACTCATTAAATCATTTAGGGAAAAAAAAGTATTTTGAACTTGTTGAAAAGTTGGTACATGTTGTGGGTTGTCTCTTTTACTAAATTTTTAGAGTTCAAAAATATTTAATATTTAATATAGTAGCTATGTTTTAACAGCATGTTAGTTTTCCTTAATTTTAATCTTATTAAAATTTGTAATATCTTAAAAT